TTCCTTCCTCAATCTGCGATTTTGTTTCATTCTCATTCCCCAGACCCTAATAGCCTCCGAGACTCCGTAGCTTCCTTCAATCGCTTGCTCTCCATGACTCCCCCGCCCTCCGTTATCGAAATTAATAAGATTTTAGGATCACTTGCAAAGACCAAACACTCCACTACTGCTATCTCACTTTATGCCCAGGCGGAATTGAAAGGGTTCAAACCATCTTTTGTTACACTGAACATTTGGATCAATTGCTACTGTCTTGTGGGGACATCACTTCTGCGTTCTCTTCACTGGGGAAGATCTTCAAGTGGGGTTATCGACCAAATACTATAACAATGACTACGTTGACGAAAGGACTCTGCATGAAAGATGTAGGGCAAGCATTGGCTTGTTGGCAAAAGGTTTTTGCTTAGACTCAGTCACTTATGGCACCTTAGTTAATGGGCTTTGCAAAACTGGAAAAACAAGATGTGCTGTTAAGTTTCTTCAAATGATGGTGAGACAAAGAATTAAAATTAAGCCTAACTTGTTTATATATAGCACAGTCATTGATGGCCTTTGTAAAGAAGGGCTAGTAAGTCAGGCATCTGAATTGTGTTCTCAAATGATCAGTCAAGGTATATCTCCTGATATTGTCACCTACACCACTTTAATCTATGGTTTCTCCAATACCAACCAATTGCAACAGGCTATTAGGTTGCTAAATGAAATAGTCATAAAAGACATCACTCCTACTCGTCATACCTTTAATATAATAATTGATGCATTTTGCAAAAGAGGAAGTATCACAGAAGCTGAAGCTGTATTTGCTAAGATGATGAAGTGTTGTGCAAAACCTGATGTTGTCGCTTTAGTTCTTTGATGAATGGCTATTGTATGAGGAATGATGTTAATGAGTCCATAGCAGTGTTCAATAAGATGATCAAAGCTGATTTGACACCTACTGTTGTGAGTTACAATATATTGATCAATGCACACTGTGAATTAAAAAGGATGGATGAAGCCCTAGATCTGTTAAAGAAATGCACACTGTGATACAGTCACTTACAACTCTCTTATTGATGGCTTGTGCAAAGCTAAGAGAATGTCATATGTGAAAGATCTTGTTTATGAGATGCGTCACAATGGTCACGCTCCTAATATAATAACCTACAATATCATATTGGATGCATCTTGCAAAATGAGACATCTTGACAAGGCAATTGCATTATATCAACATATTGTCAATGAAGGAATACAACCTACAATACATTCACAACATACTAATTGACGGTTTGTGCAAAGAAGGTAGGTTAAAATTGGCACAAGACATCTTTGAATTTCTTGTGACCGAAGGTCATCATCTAGATATCTATACTTACAACATTATGATGAATGGACTTTGCAAAGAAGGCCTTTTCGATGAAGCATTAGCATTGCTTTCAAAAATGAAAGAGAATGGCTGCCTCCCTGATTTGGTGACATTTAGAACACTTGTTGGAGCTCTTTTGATGAAAAATCAGAGTGACAAATCAGAGATTCTTGTTCATGTAATGATAGACACAGGTCTTCTGAAACAGTAAAATAAGGTGAAATGCTCTATTTTTATCTTATGCTTTATTTCTATTAATTGTGATGTTAATCCTTCGTAGACTTTATCATAACCACACCATGAGCAACAACAGAAGCACACCGTGATTTTGTTTCAAGTTGGTTGGTCAGTATTCTCACTGGTGGTAGATCTTGTATTTGTTGCTTTGAGTCGTGCTTGCATCTCTAAATTGATACTTTGGTGCCACTCATGATTTTAAAGGGTATAATACTTGCAACGGAGAGGTTATATGAAGATTGATGGTGGAAAAATGCTTCAAGTTAGAAATAGATGGGTCAGTTTGTGCCTCTGGAAGTAGTTCACGCGGTGGAGTTATAAAGAATGTGATGGGGGAGTTGGGTGATTCGTTTCTGCAGAAAGATGGGTGAATACAGTTAATGCCTTAATAACCGGCATTATATGGATTATTGCAGGTCTGACTGTATGCTGTGAAAAGGGTACAAGAAAAGGCCAAGCTTATCCAGATTGTGATCAAAAGCAAGTAACTACTTGACTGGGGAAACTTGCTGCGATCATCCGGTTAGAGACATCAATGAAGAAGCAAGAAGAATGGTTTCAAGAGTTTTGGATGTTCTGTTTTGAATGATTTATAGGGAAGGTAATTATAGCGCTGATTCTTTATTTACATCATTGAGGAAGCATTGGTCTTTACACCCAGGTACCCCCTCCTTCATTGAAGGGGGGCGTTTGATGAAAGTTCTGTTGATGTTTTTTGTACTTTGGTGTTTCACTTTAATTTAATATAATAGCTTTCAAAGTTTATTCAAAATAACAAAATTTATAAATATTGAAAATTGTCAACTTTTGCAGTTCACACATATTCATCAGTTACGCTTGCCGTATAATGATCTTCGCATTTCTTGTCATGTTTTGTTTTTGTTCACTTTTGTCTGGCGCTGGTCACTTGTTTGTTGATCTGTTGGGCCTCTGGTTTGCTTGCCTGGCTTGTGCTTTTGGTTCCTTCTCCTTTCCTTCTCTTAATAACGTTTAGTCTTTTTAATAGAGTTGTCCTTTAGCAAAACAATGAAAGGGCTATTTGTGAGGTTTCAAGCTTCTTCAAAACAATTTAAGTGTTCTTTTTAATTAATCCAGGAAATGGTTCCCGACTTCACGTTATTCAACAATGTAGTTGTGTCTATTCAGTTGTGTCTATTCAAAGTTGAACCCTGTAAAATCGAAGAAAGGGGAGGAGTCTTTTTTTTTCCCCCCCTTGGTTAATATAATATTTGGTCACTCAAATTTGCTCTTATTTTGGTTTTAGTTTCTCAAATTTCAAATAATAAGTTTTAGTTTATTGGGGCAAAATGATTCAAGTTTTTATTGGATTATAGAGACTAATGTTTTAACGAAAAAGAAATTTAGGTATCACAACTTATAATTTAAAACTTAAGAGATGAAAACCAAAGGAGTGTCAATTTGAAAGACAAAATTTGTATTAACAGTTTTTTTTAAATATTCATATTGCTGTTGGTACTAATATTAAATTATTCAACCTCAAGCTCCTGAAAAAAAAAGGCGAGAATTATGGAGCATCGAGGCTGCTTCATGAAACGGTGGCTAGAGTTAAAATATGATCCTTTTTACATGTGCGTACTCAACAGTTTTATCAAGCGCAAATTGGAGTAAATTAAAAATATTATTTAAATTAATTAATATAATATTTTTAAAAAAATGTTCTAAGTATTTTTCTTAATTCTTTTCTTGTTTTTGTTACTTAATTGTTGTTTGGAGAATATTAGTAAAGTTAATTTAAGAAAAAATTAATAAACATGTAAAATAGTTTATATATATAATCAACATCAACATCCTAATTAGGTTTTATATTAATGATTAGAGAAGTATAATGAAGTTACTCTATCTGGCTTCATGTATAAGTTACACTTTGCATGTGTTTAAAAATTTAAGTCATTTTTTTTCACTTGTTCTATTCGTTCTCTGGGTGGACTTTCTCTCATCTCTATTTCTCATTCAGTCTCTCTCTCACCCTCTTTATAAATAATAGTATATTTGAAAAAAATTAATACATATTTTATGCATTTCTAGCCTTTAATTAATTTTAACCATTTGTTTATATTTGATTATTTGTATCTTATATGTAAAATCAAGATAGTCAAGCAACGAAAAAAAAATATTTAAAGTGACTCTTAGTTGTTCTATTACTTTTGTTTTCTTAAATAAAGGGAATTTGAGTTTGAGAAAGAGACGGGCAAAAGAGAAAGTCATATGGATCTAATTTGCAGATAAAGTTTTATATATAGTTTAATATCAAGGCCAGGAAATTCAATGATATAATTAGAGGAAGTGATTTTCTCCACGTAGTATAGACTATAGCTGAAAGATTATTATTATTATTATTATTATTATTATTATTATTATTATTATTATTTTCTAGTCTTATGTTTGGTATGAGGGAAGCACAAGGAAGTAGAGGAGAGGAAAAGAAAATTTTAATGAGTTCTATTTTAAAAATTAAAGAAGAAAGGTTTTAAAATTTTGATTAAGCAAAAAGCCGAAAACATAAGAGTAATAAAAATTAATTAAAAGTTTTTAATTCTATTTTCCAAAAATTAAACTCATCAAAATATTCCCTTTTTCCCTTGCCCTGGCTTTCCCTGTCTCCGGACGCACCCTAAAACTGATCTAAACCTCTTTCCAGTTTCAACGGTTGCCCCAAAAAGGCAGTATCAATTCCACCCGGCCATGCTCCTGGCATTTCCCATTTGGTGAAGGAGCTTCTGTACATCGCATTCCTCTTCCAATCTCATCTGAAGATGCTGTTCTTTTCTGCTACTTTGAGGTACGCCTTCCCCATATCTCCTGGCTTTCTCCAATCTCCTCCGTTTGCCTTTCTCCTTTCACTCCCTTCCTTCCTCAATCTGCGATTTTGTTTTAACTCTCATTTCCCCAACCCTAGTAGCCTCCGAGATCCCATAGCTTAGTTCAGTCGCTTGCTCTCCATGACTCCCCCGCCCTCCATTGTCGAAATTAATAGGATTTTAGGATCACTTGCAAAGACCAAACACTCCACCACTGCTATCTCACTTTATGCCCAGGCGGAATTGAAAGGGTTCTTTTTTTTTTTGGTCCAAGGAATTGAAAGGGTTCAAACCATCTTTTGTTACACTGAACATTTTGATCAATTGCTACTGTCAAGTGGGCGATATCACTTCTGCTTTCTCTTCATCGGGGAAGATTTTCAAGTGGGGTTATCGACCAGATACGGTAACAATGAATACGTTGATGAAAGGACTCTGCATGAAAGATGTAGGGCAAGCACTGGATTTCCACGATGACTTGTTGACAAAAGGATTTTGCTTAAGCTCGGTTACTTATGGTATCTTAGTTCATGGGCTTTGCAAAACTGGACAAACAAGATGTGCTGTTAAGTTGCTCCAAATGATGGGGAGACAGAGAATTAAAATTAAGCCGAACTTGGTTATATATAACACAGTCATTGATGGCCTTTGTAAAGAAGGGCTAGTAAGTCAGGCATCTGAATTGTGTTCTCAAATGATCAGTCAAGGTATATCTCCTGATATTGTCACCTACACCACTTTAATCTATGGTTTCTCCAATACCAACCAATTGCAACAAGCTCTTAGGTTGCGAAATGAAATAGTCATGAAAGACATCACTCCTACTCATCATACCTTTAATATAATAATTGATGTATTTTGCAAAAGAGGAAAGATCATAGAAGCTGAAGCTGTATTTGCTCAGATGATGAAGTGTTGTGTAAAACCTGATGTTATTACCTTTAATTCTTTGATGAATGGCTATTGTATGAGTAATGATGTTAATGAGTCCATAGCAGTGTTCAATAAGATTATCAAAGCTGAGTTGACACCTACTGTTGTGAGTTGCAATATATTGATTAATGCATATTGTAAATTAAAAATGGTGGATGAAGCCCTAGATCTGTTTAAAGAAATGCATTGCAAAAATTTGCAGCCTGATATAGTCACTTACAGCTCTCTTATTGATGGCTTGTGCAAAGCTAAGAGAATATCACATGTGAAAGATCTTGTTTATGAGATGCGTAAGTATGGTCAGGCTCTTAATATAATAACCTACAATATCTTGCTAGATGCATTTTGCAAAATGAAACTTCTTGACGAGGCAATTATATTGTATCAACAAATTGTCGATCAAGGAATGCAACCTACTGTTCATACATATAGTATGCTCATCGATGGTTTGTGCAAAGGTGGTAGGTTAAATTTGGCACGTGGGATCTTTGAATTGCTTTTGACTGAAGGTCATCATGTAGATGTCTATATTTACAGCATTATGATGAATGGACTATGCAAAGAAAGCTTGTTCGGTGAAGCACTGACATTGCTTTCAAGAATGAAAGAGAATGGCTGCCTCCCGAATTTGGTGACATTTACAACACTTGTTGGAGCTCTCCTGATGAAGAATGAGAATGATAAAGCAGAGCTGCTTATTCATGTAATGATAGACACTGGTCTACTAAAACCCTAAAACATGGTTGAATGCTCCATTTTTATCCTACTTGTATTAATCGTAATATTTCCCTAAATTGGCTTGAAAATGCTTGCTTCTTTTGAGTAAAAGCTAATAAATTATTCATCCTTTTACAACCTTAGTGTTTTGGTATTGTGTTACTGAAGTATGCATAACGATGCACTTGTAGTTCCTCCAATAATGTTTGCATGACTATGGTATGCTGTTCCTGCTGCATTTTTACCTCCACATGGTGATAATGCCTCACTTGATTGTTTCTTTGAACACAATATAGATGCTGCGGTTAAGTTTTTCTTAATCTTATTAATGAATAAGATTAAGTTACTACTTACTACTGTTGTTTTCAATAAATGCAATTTATTGTCAAAGTTATTATATTGATACAATAATGATGTTATAAATTTGTTACTTCCTCAATGAAAAAGACCCTTGTAGCATGTAGAAGACCATGTTATAATTTTGGGAACACGAGTAAGAAGCATTAATGATGAGGTCGTTCTATTGATTCTTGAGAATAATTTTTATTTTTGTGATTTTGATTGTCAATAATACAGGTAATGACTCCAAAAAATATTGTATTGATGGCTCGGTTAAAAAGAATAGGGAAACTAGATTGATGTAGCCTGGTAGGGACCTAATCTAACGGAAATAAAAAGGGCAAAGTAACGGCAAAGAATTCCAATAAAAAGAGCGGCAAGGATCTCACAGCACTCTCTCTAAAGGACCGATGGAGGATCTCCAATACAAATATACTCTCTGAAGAATTGTCGTGTTTATTCCTGCGGCCAGATAGCCTTTTTATAATAAATTACAGAGAGAAAATCAGTTGAAAATCAAATGATTCCAATCAACGATAAATCAGCAACTAATCCTAACGTTGGAGAGGGCTATCCCTCTTATTTCGGAACTGAAAATATGCTAGCAGAAAAAGAACAGGGAAATATTAAAATAAAAAACATGTAAATTGCTACTCCAAAACTGACTCTTCTCTGGCACGTTTACCCCTTCTTGAATAAGTCAGTCTGAATTTGTCGGGTATCCTATCATAGCCTCATATATTCTATCAGTCACTACTCAATCTTGTACTAATGCTTAGGATGGTTGCATTTTCTTCGGGGTCAACAAATAATTGTGTAGTAATCTGATAGAGTTGCTTTTACGGGTCAAAGCTTAAAAGTAAAACTAGGAAGATACAAGAAAGAGGAAAGCCGCTTTCTGCTGTCCTGGGTATAGACCTCAAGCTTCCTTCTGTTTTGGAGAAAGAAACTAAGAAATACAGTTGTTTTAGGGTGGCTATATGCCTGACTTAGAAGGGGGTTTGTTGGGGGTTGCGTGATTCACTTTTTGGGCTTACATTAGTAATGGGTGTATCCTGAGAGAGGTAGGACTTATTTTGTAATTTGAGAGTAGTGAGGACTGAGGAGAGCTCTGGCCTCTCGAATGCCAGTGGGGGTGGAGGAAGATAGTCTTCATCATTTATCTTTCTCTTTCAGTGTGTTTCCCTCACTGTTGTAACTTCTTTCTCTTCTTGGGCGAAGATTATTTTGAGTAAATCCAGTTTCATTGTTATTTCTCCATTATACCATGAGCAACACCATGATTTTGTTTCAAGTTGGTTGGCTGTGTTTCAGGGAAATCTCAGGTCAGTATTCTCACTGGTGATACATCTTGTATTTGTTGCTTTGAGTCGTGCTTGCATCTCTAAATTGATACTTTGGTGCCACTCATGACTCGACAGGGTATAGTACTTGCAATGAAGAGGTTTTATGGAGATTGATGGTGGGAAAATACTTCAAGTTAGTAATAGATGGGTCAGTTTGTGCTTCTGGAAGTTGTCCGTGCGGTGGGGTTATAAAGAATACGAAGGTGGGGTTGGGTGATGGGTTTCTGCAAAAAGATGGATGAATACAGTTAATGCCTTAATAGCCTTAAAATTGTCGTTTATCAGAACAATGAGAGGGCCATTTGTGAGGTTTCAAACTTCTTCAAAACAATTTAAGTATTCTTTTTAATTGATCGTGGACATGGTTCACGATTTCACATTATTCAACAAATATAATTTTGTCTATTTAAAGTTGAACCCTGTAAAAGAGAAGAGAGGGATGCCTCTTTTTTTTTTCCCATTTAATTATTCATATTGCTGGTGATACTAATATTAATTATTATTCAACCTCAAGCTCCTGGAAAAAGTGAGAATTATGGAGCATTGAGGCTTCATCATGAAACGGTGGCTAGAGTTAAAAATATGATCAAAGCAAAACGAAGTTACTCCCCCTGCTTTCATATATAAGTTACCCTTTGTATATGTTCAGAAATTTAATTCATTTTTGTCATTTTTTCCTCATCTATTCTCTCTCAGTAGACTTTTGCTTATCTCTATTTCTTATTCATCATCCCCCCTTCTTTATAAATAATTTATATTTGAAAAAATAAATACATATCTTATACATTTATAGCTTTCGATTGGTTTTAACCGTGTTTTTGTATTTGATTATTTGTAACTTATATATAGGATCGAAACAAGTAATACTCAATAACAAATTGAATATAAAATGGTATTACAGTAACTTTTTTAGGGAATAATAGTGACTATTGTCTTGACGCCAATTATTGAAAACCTTTTAACTTGCATTCTCAACGTAATTGCTCAACAATTTAATAAAGCTCAAATTGAATTTGAACGATCAATTTGATGTCCCTTTATTAATAATGGTATAATTTGAAAAATAAATACATATCTTATATATATTTATAAAATTTATTTTATCTATGTAATTCAGTTATTTGTATCTTATATATATTATCAAAAGAAGTAATATCTAAGGGGTTAAGGTGTATCAAACATTTGGAAGTATCTTTTTTGGATGCATTTAGCACCATGAATTATTTTTCAGGTGTGTGAAGTATTTTTTTATCTTAGTGCTAGATGCATCAAAAAAATATTTAAGGGTACTAGACATATCTTAAAAAATATTTTAGAGTGTTAGATGCGTCATAAAATATTTCATAATGCTAAACGCACAAAAAAATATTTCAGAATATTGGATGCATTAAAAAATACTAATATTTTGAAGTGCTGGATACCTTAACCCAATATTCAATAAAAGAAATTGAATATAACATGATATAATAGTAACTGATAAATAACTTATTAAAGCATATTATTTTTATCTAAGGAGTTAGATAAAAATAATCATATACTTGTATTTTCTTTCTCATTTTGCCTATAATTCCCTTAATAAATTGATGTCATAGTATTGTACTATTAAAATAGTTAAAAATTCATTCTAGCAAAATTTCAAAATTAATTTATGGTAACAAAATATTTCTACGTACAATCTTTTAGTGGCTAAACTAGTAATTATCAAAAGCTTAAAAAAAATACTCCTCCGGTCCTTAATATAAGACCCATTTAACTAATTTGATTAGATTAAGGAAGTTAGGTAAGTTAGTTAATTATAAGAAAAGTTACACATTTTTCCTAAAACACCATAATCATCTTTCTTAATACCCCCTCTTCCTCTTCTACTTGATTATGGTTGAGGGAGTATTCATAGGGGTACTTTAGAGAAAATTGATAAATATAAGAAGTGGATCTTATATTTAGGACCAAAACCAACTCATGAATTAGGTCCTATATTAAGGACCGGAGGAGTACAATAAAGTCGTTTTTGGCATTAATTTTTTTAAATAAAAGCACAACCAGTCTAATCCACTAAACTAATCAGATTAATAGGTTATTCATGAGTTAACCCAGTTATACAGTTGACTTCCTACTGCTTTTTTGCAGTTGACCGGATGAACTAGGTAACCAGTTGATCAATTTCAGTCTAATCTTGCCAGCCTGTTACATTAATATAAAACCTATTTAACTAATTTGATTAAATTAAAGAAACTAAATAAATTAGTTAATTATAAGAAATATGACATGTTTTTCCTAAAACACTATAATTATTTTTCTTAATATCTTTTCTCTTTCTTCTACTTGATTATAGTTGAGGGAGATTCATAGGGATAATTTTAAAAAATTGATAAATATAATAAATAGGTATTATATTTAGGATCAAAAGCAACTCAATAATTAGATTCTATATTAAGGACCGGAGGAGTATTCAATTTTTATTTTTGCCAACAAGAACAAATTATTAAAATTTTAAATACTAATATAGAGTAATAATATATAAAAAAATAAAAGTAAATAAAATAGTTAATTAATATATCTAAATTTATAAATTATTTAAAATATTACTCATTTTTCATAAATACTCATTTTTCTCAATATTAGTTCTTAAAACAAATGATATTAGTAGCTTTGACTCAGCATACATTTATGCGACGACAATCAAAATAAAATGAAAATGAATCAGACTATAGATTATATATAAATATAAAGACACGATTACGAGGATAATAATTTTTATTTTCCTGTCGACAATAAATAAATTTTATTTCTAACCAAATGTCAATTCTTTTTAAATTTTCTTTTTAATTTTGTATTTTGTTATAACTTATATATTCTACAGTTAAGATCTATATTAACCACCCGTAATTAAAAAAAAAAAAATATGAGCACGTAATCTCTTCGATTCGATTCCACCAGCACATGCTTCTGACATTTCCAATTTGGTGAAGGAGCTTCTGGACATTGCACGTTCTTCTTCTCATTTCATTTGAAGATGCTGTTCTCTTCTGCTACTTGGTACGGGATTTTTGGAGGGGAGGGGAGGGGAGTTGCTCCCCTCCCTTTGTTTGGCTGGTGTAATTTTTTAGGAGGGGAGGGGAGCCCCTCCCCTTCCCTCGTTTGGTTAAGATGTTTTTTAAAGAGGGGAGGGATTCTTCTCCCCTCCCCTTCCTTTCTAGCCTCCCCTCCAAAAGTGGGGTTTTTTGGAGGGGAGATGAGAGATAATATTTCAATTTCTTATATACCCTTTTGATTTGTTAACCTCTAATCAGTCGTAAACATTTCTATATAAAAGAGTTTTTTGAGCATCTAACAAGAGGTTATTAAGATAATTGTCTCCAAAATTAGTGAGTATTTGTAAACTTTTTTTTTTCTCTTCTTCTAATTTCAAGAGGTTGTTGGTATTTTCTTTCACTTTCAAGGTTTTTTCTCTGA